TTCGAGCAAACACGGTAAAGAAATATGTGACCTGAAGCAAAACTTCATGTTCGTGAAAGTACACAAAGCAGGAAGCACAACAACAACCTGTATTTTCCAACGCTTCGGCTGCGAACACAACCTGACTTTCGTTCTACCAGTTCTCAAAACTGACGTCAGCTGGCCCAACTTCTTGAAACAGGAAGACTTCATACCATCTGCGGATGGTACTTACAACGTGCTAGTCGATCACACAGTTTACCATAGGCCGTTGTTGGACCATCTCATGCCTCCTGACACTGTGTATATCTCTATACTGAGGCATCCTTTAGACCAACTTCGCTCTGTCTTCAACTGGTACGGACTGGGCAAACAATTTCACGCGTACGGGTTGACAGGACCAGATTTTTGTGGCATCGTTTCTTGAACATCCCGAGACTTTCCACACCCCGTTCATCATGGCAAGACGTTCCCCGTTTACCCACGCAAGGAATTTCATGGCGTACGACCTCGGCTTTCCTCTGGGACTTTCTGACGACCAACCGTCTGTTGATGAGTTCATCCAAAAGCTGTCTCGAGAACTAGATTTGGTTCTTATTTTGGAACATTATACTGAATCCCTCGTATTGCTCCGGCGTATGATGTGTTGGACCTTGAAAGATATTCTTTACAACGTAGAACCCAAAAATCTACGGAAATATCACAAACCAAAAACAGACAATGCAACACTCGTAGGGCTACATCGTCAATGGAGCAATGTGGATTATCAGCTCTACGACTACTTCAACGCGACTCTTTGGCAGAAGATTCAAGAAGAAGACGACGACTTTCACCAAGAAGTGCGCCATTTTGAAAACGTGCTTCAGTCAATGACTACTTATTGTACCAAAGCAATCATAAAAGTACCAGTGAACACCACGACAGATTCACGTACAAAGAATGAAACAAAGAAGAAGACTGTTCTGACTTGGGACGTTAACGAGGAGGCTGGCATCTTGACAATTGCACGAACAGCTTGGCACGACGAGCTCGACATAGATCCGAGGCTGTGTCTAAAGCTGAAGATGGGGTGGCGAGAGTGGGCATATGTCTTAAAGAAGAGACAAAAGATGCCAGCAAACGTCTCGGAGGCAGTCAGGAAGACCATTCGACACTATGAACCAAACGATGTGCATACAACCGTCCTGATGAAAATGTTTCACCTCAAGTGAGAACAGACGAAACTAGGGCACGGTGACCTCGTCGTACGATCGTCTTACAATCATCCTATGATCGTCATACGATCGCAAGTCATTTCAGGAGGTGGTGTTCCTGGGATAGTTAGACATGTTTGCTGCAAAACGTAGCTATTTTTAAGATCTAGGTGGTTGGTTCTATCACAGCCTGCTTCAAAAATTTTACTTCATCAAAACCGTCTGACCACCAAGGAATGTGAGCTCTCCGTTGTCTGGAAAAGGCGCTGTGATATAATCAACATAACTGTGCTGTGACTACTACTTGTAGCAATACAATGATGCAAAGTTTAATGCTGATGATTGACGCATTTGTTTATATTTAAAATATGACATTGATAGAACTGTACTAAGAATACATTAGCATTAAGTATAAAATTCACCTTTGATCAACAATCTTTTTATGTCAACTTGTGTATAGGTAATTCACCTTGCTTGCTTCAGGACTGTTTTCGTGAAAACACGAAGGTAATACTGCATGAAGGCTAGCGACCTTCATTAGCTGCAGTTCATCTTTGGAAGGATAGGTGGTGTAGCTGCTACGCTGAGTGAAATTTGTTAGGCAGATACCAGTAAACCATCCGGCTTGGCTTTATGACTAAAATCTTGGAAAAACAATTAGTATTGAATGTACATAGCGATGGCATACAAAACATTGACCAATATCTACTCCGGAAAAAATACTTATTAACATCAGATGTTGATGGTTTTTTTTTTAATTAAACGTCCTAACGGTACAAATGTGGATAAATAATTTCTTTCTAAAGCCTTTTGTTCAGAGCTTTACGCACTAGAAGCTTTTCATCTATTCACTCAACGGGTATTGAGCCAGACTGTAGTCATAAACCATTTGTACTGTGCAGTACGCTTTGAGTCACTTTATATTTACTGCACGCAATTTCAGCGTCCACTGCACTTACTCTGTGTGAACATTGCTGAATAGGTTTACATGTATATGGTAATTTTGAATATTCGTGGGAATAAATTAATTGTCTCCTTCCATTTTCGTTGTAGAAAGTAATGCCAGTAATTTACATGCAAAGAATATTGCAAATAAAGTGTTGAGTACCATATACGTACACAAAACGATAGACACGACCCACATTGTTGTGCGTTGTATCATTCTTGTAAGGAATAACTGACTATTTTATGGGGCGAGATATGTGCATTTTCATGGGTGGGTGTAGTCAGAATGAGAGTTGAAAATTAGGCAATACATTATCTGGATTAGGGTTCATGGCAGTTTAGGGCGTGTTGGTGAAACCAAATACCAGCTGTACTAGTTAGGGGCCGCAGGAGGAAATGTACGTACACTAAGAGGTCAAGGTCACCCACTCCTCCTGAAGGTCAAGGGTTAAACCTAGTAGCGGCTTGTCGTTAAAAGCTTTCGGCTTATCGTCTGTATTATTGGTGGTTTGCCAGATGTCAGTGTCATGCCCAAGAGACGGTAGACAAAATCCCGCTAGTAGACATTGAGTCACTGGAGGGTTCCATGCAGGAAGGCGGCCATGTTTCCTGTCTAGGCTGGTGATTTGAAGGTCAAGTACGCGCGCGAGTTCTTCTAGTTCCTCAGAACATTTGAGACAATGATGTATTCATGATTCATATGAGATTTAGTTTCCTATTCTCCATTGACAAAGCTTAAGAATACTCTAGTTACTTGCACGTGCACTTTCCTTGCACTATAATAATCTTTGAGTTAGATTGCAAAGCGAATGCAATCGATAATGGTGGAGTGGACTGAAAATGTACAGATCATTTGATGTCACGCACTATTTTCAAACAGTTACGGAAGTCATAAATAATGACAGACTGATCAATAAGGATGAGAACTTTACTTCGTGGCGTATCTAACAAAGTACAGGCTGGCTTTAGAACCTTACCTACCAGTATAAAAGAAAACTAGTATAAAAGAAAACGGAAACCTTTTCACGCTGCAACATTTTTTACTCACGTAATCTTTCAACGTCGATGAAAGTTAGAGTCAGACATCCAGGTAAGAATATACTAGTAAACAAAATTTTTACTCAAGCAAATGCTCTCTGTGTGTGGGTTAAAAATGCGCTGTCTTGCAAGTTTACATTCTATCATTAAAGATACAAGGAAAACAACAACAATAATATTTGTAATCCAGGACATTTTATTGGTTCGGTTATCGTATGTACAGTTTGGTCTAAAAGTGAGCTTGGGTGTTTTTTTTGGCCGTCACAAAGTTTACAGGAACTACCAAAAATATCGGACAAATGTTGACCTGTACAAGGGCAGCTATCACTGGGGAACGATACTTGACGACCAAGTTACTTCTTTTTAAGAAATACAAAAGTACACGGCTGTAAATTGTACTTTGTAACTATTCCGGCCAATAAGACTGCTCTATTTCTTCTACCTTACTCGTGTACAATCACAATGTATAATTCTGTTTCTTCCATCATTGTCATAAGTATTCTTTTTTTACGTGATATTTAATATCACGAAATAACTTAGTTGCAACTTTGTTTCTTTCGAGTAACACTGGATCTTTTACCTTTCAATACTTTTTTTTTCATATACCGACGTCTTTTATACCACATTCGTGTCACATTGTTAATTGTAAGTCTATGCCATACAATTCCTTAGTGACGTACCCTGTCATGTTATGGCAATAGACGAAGTCATTAGCATAGTCTTTATCCGCTTTACCGTTTTTCAAGAGAAAATATCAATTTCTTCTTTACCCCAACATAGACCAATCAGCATTGCTTTTACATCTTCCGTTACGAACACAATTATTATACAGAAAACAGCATGCAACACGGAATCTACCATTTTGAAGGAGGGGGTACAGTACTAATAGAAGCAACAACCTCTGTTTCATTCCTAATCTATTTTGAGATGAAGACTTGCTTTGCATTCCAACCTCGTATGTCGAAGGAAATAAGCCGATCTGTCAAATGTGTCCCTGAAACTTTTACATGGCGCCGTTCTGGAAATGTAACCACGCCCTGAAGTAATTGGGGCCATGTCGTGAATTAGAAATCGACAGTCGTCGTGAGGAGACAATTAGTTGCCACTGGAGGATGACGTGTTGGTTTCTAATAATAGCTCAAAGTAATTTACGCTGTGGGCTTGGAGATTGGCTCTCGACATACAGTCATTTTAGATAAGGTGGTTTTGAAAGCTACCGTGGAGGATGGTTGTTGCGTGGTGGGACTTTATGATTTGTACTAATTCCATTTTCGCATCTACCCTGTAGATTTTTCAACTCGGCATGCCAGTCCTCTGTTCTGTACATGGACGATTTTGTAAGTACTTGTACTCCATCCAAAAATGTGTATAATTCCCCTCCCCCTAAAGCTAACGTCTCAGTCGGCTTGATAGAATACTTTTTGTCATCGCCAAATTATCTGACCTTCGCCACATACAAAACGCCCATGTTGTGGCCCTACTATACTGACATGACAACTAAAATGTAGTCTCACGTGATCCTCAACAACCAATCACTGCACAGATTTCGTACTGTGACCACAGATGAACATACACGTGTCAAGCCTATGGTCTAACGGACATAGAAGATTATTTTCTGTTCCGCACTGAGGACAACTGAATTGTGTAACACACCTTAGCGCTGGAAGCACATACAGACAGAACTCTTCTGGTTTGGCTTCTCTGTTTACGGGCTACATTCTCAGTTTAGTTAAGCTCTTCCCCGTAGTTAATGATCTATTGTCCTATCGGGTGGTGCAAAACGGTTTTGCACACTTTTATAGAGCTATACTCGTATTCTTTCAGGCGAAGAGTAGACTTTTTTGACCGCCATTTTTTTTATTCTTCCCGTGATCCTTTACTTCTTCATAACAGGACCTCTACTGCGCATGGCTGCACCACGTCATCAGTTATTGCTGTGCTCGTGCTACCTGTCTCTGTTGGTGACGTCATGGGTACCCACCGGTTTCCGTTGAGAGGCGGTAGCAGCCAGTCGTAGTGGATGTACTTGTACACCTCCCTGATTTGACAGCGCTTCTCCGGCTTGATTTCCAGCGACTTGCGGAAGAACTTCATGAGGCGGGGGGTGAACTTCTTCCACTGCGAGGGCATCCCGCTGGTGGTCCGCTTCTGCCAGCCGACGAACTCCGTGAAGTAGCAGTCCCTATCCTCCGCGTTCTCCCACGGGAAGTTCCCGGTGAGCATGCAGAAAATGAGCACGCCAAACGCCCAGACATCCGCGCTGGTCTCCACGTAGAAGCCGTCGTTGTGGGCGGCCTGGCAAATCTCGGGAGGGGTGTAGGGTATCGTGCCGCTGATCTTTTTCACATGCGTGCCGCACTTCCTCGTCATGCCAAAATCCATCAGCTTCACCCGCCGACAATCTCGGTCAAAGAGCAGAATGTTCTCCGGCTTGACGTCCCGGTGTACCAGTCCCTTCGCGTGCATGAACTCTAGCGCCGACCCGATCTGTTGTACGCACAGTTTGGCGGTCTCCTCAGGCAAGCCCTCCTGTGGCGGGATCGCCTCGAACAAGTCCCCGACTGCCGAATACTCCTGTCCAAAGATAAAGTAATGTTTTGTCTGGAAAGCGACGTCATAGGTGGTGATGATAAACGGGTGTGCCGAGAGGTACTGACTGAGCGTGAATTCTCGGTAGAAATCACGGAGTCTGGTGGTTCGCTTTGGCACGGACTTGAGCGCTAGTTTGGTGCCCGTTTCCTTGTGGATGGCGAGGTCGACTCTCCCGTAGGTTCCCCTCCCCACCTCCCGCACGATGAGGTAGTGGCTGTGCACGTCCACCTTCGGGAGTTCGAAGCCCGAGGATGAGGAGGCGTTGGCGTTCTTGTTGGCGTTTTGAGACATCCCTGAAGCCTGCTTCTCGAACCACAGCCTCTAGACTAATTCTGCGCCTGCTGCCGGGGGTGACTCAGCCGCCAATCCGCTTCAAACGTCTAGAAACAAAAGAGAACACAAATTGAAACACTCAGTTTGCTACGTGAGAGAGAGAAACTGCCACGCGATGACATCTGCGACTGTTCGGCAGCTACCTTAGGGAATTACCGTTCAACTAGTTAGGCGAATTCGCCACCAGGGGTCGGCCCCTATTACACTCTGGAAACATGCAGAGATGTGACGACTGCAAATAAGGAACAAAGGTCCGAAAACGGAAAAATACCCGCAGAGATTCTAATATTCTCCCCGCTGTGAAGATAGATTACGGGGTAACAAAAATGGTGGCCCCATTCGCAGGTGTATACGTACGGACTATCAATGTCGTTTGATTATTTTCCTTTCACAGGATTAGACTCCTTTCCCCTCCGATAATCTATAACCATCTGGTACAAAAACCTTTCCATCAACAATGGACAATCCCTCTAAATCCCGGCGCTAGGATTGGATTCCCAATCCATTTTCCGGACAATGATCCCGAAGCCTGATAACGAAACACTAGGAAGACGATGGCTTTCGGAAAGACAAACGAGGTCGCAATTCCCCCGTAAGACCAGACGGCGTTTTGTCGTCGCGAGGCGTAATAAAGAACATGGCGCCCTAAAACCGCAACTGTTGATTTCACACAATTTGACCAAATTACGGCGGGTCGTAAAATTTAACCAAAGCTTTTAGGAACTGGGACATAAAATTGGGCAGGTTGGTTTTACGGTATATAGGGATTCAAATTTTACTGTAGGACTAGATAAATTTATCTTTCAGTTTCATAACAAAACACACACACCAAATATTAGAAAAAAATAAGAAAAAGGACGAAAAATGACGATTGATATCATATTTCAATAGATATTTGACAGCAAAAAATATATGAACCACTTGTGCTTTGTTTATTTGAATGGCGAAATATTTGTTTTTGTTGCGTTGAAGGGGGCCCAATTATTTCTTGACAGCTAAGATGGGTATTCCATATTTAAGAATTTTTTCCGCGTATTGTATGACACGTTGCCAAATCCGACAAAATCTTTGCAACCTTTTAAATCACAACAATTTCTGACCCCGGCCCAAAATATTCACAAATATGGCCATCAATGCCTTTTACGATGACAATTTTTCTGCCTAGCCAAAATATATATAATATACGTTACAACATAAGGCAAGTGTATCGCCATATGGCGATAGATGTATAAGTCATACAGACGAGGTGACCCCTTTCGGGGGACATTTGGGGGAGGAATGCCGTCTTATGCATAAGATACGGGCGTCCCATGGAAAACCGAAACAATCGCTTCATTCAAAAGCTGTGCCCTGGCCGTGCGTTTGGGGACCAAACCCCGACAGATGCACGCCCCTCCCCCTCTCTTCAGAACCATCTGAGACTAACCAAAGAATTTCTAGTGACGTAAGATGACAACAAACACAACACAGTAAACCAATACATCTGATAACACCGTATCAGCGTGTCCAAATATATGTAAATATACCAATCTGGTATATAGCCCGGGGAAAGAAATAGTTGGAGCTCACGCGAGCCAGGCCGTACGCCCTACATGGCCACCACCCAAACCCACAACATCTTTGCATGATTCATAACCCTTTTTGTCATACAAAGAACAAAGGACAATCACCAATATCTAGTTCAGCTCAACAAGGAAATTACGTGACTGAAAAAAAAACAACATGTATACAGGAAGATAATAAAATACCACATTACTTACCGAGACAACCGTGGAAAATCTGACCCAGGTTTTCGTCGTGTTAGGTTTCACTGGTCATAGCAGCGCTGTGGGAACAAAGGGTGTTGTCGTGAGTGTTGGTCTATAAACACAGTTCATAAAGATAATCCGTCCTCGCCCCTTGTTGTCGGGTCGGTGTGAATGGGGGGTAAGCGTGCCGTACACGCGACGTGCTCTTTGTTCTGTACTGACGGCGGCTCAGGGCGTGGGCAGCCGACCGTTACGCAACCAACAACCGCCGTGGTTCCCTTTGTCTGACGATGTGCATGTAATGCATGTATTTCGTCATACGCACTGGTCTACACCCTTTACTATATCGCTTCCTCTAGTATATCGACACACTTTCTTGTTACATTTCTAACTCCTAGCACTACAGTTTCCGCATTTAACATCCTACAGTGATAACCACAACAGGTTTCACACGTATTAATGCTTGCTTCATTAGAATACATGACAAGAGGTTGTTTGTACCACGAATATTCCGTTTTAAAAGCGATGACATGACAGCTACGGCTGGTGCTGGGATTTTCCATAATTTGACAAGGCTAACGTAACACACACCCTTCCCAAAGACCAATCCGTGAATATAATTTGACATCGCTAACACACAAAGCAAAACGCGAACCCCTCGTATTTTTACAATATCAGACTACGAGATATACAACGGGATATACGTATACACACATACGCATACACTGCTCGTTTGAAATACACTACGAATCTTGATGCAGAGTACGTTAGAAACAGTAAGATATGCCGCACCTTGTAATCGTATGGTCGCACCAGTCTCTAGTGGGCGGGAGTGACGCGTCCGCGCCCGGCCGAAGGATGTTCTGTGTTCCTCCCGGCCTCGCTCACTCCCTGCTCCCCGCCATACCCTCTTCCCCAGCCCGCTGGACAGATTTCTGTACCGGTCAGGCTGCTAGGGGCCGCGAGATCGCCGCTGTCGGGATTCTTTTAGTATCAGAAATGATAGGATGAGGCTAAATATAGGTGGGTAAGCGGTGGAACACGCAACACAATACGGCGTGTTATGGTCACAACTGATGGGTACAGGGGCTGGGGTAGCACGCCTGGGGCGCCTGCGCATTAGACTCCCATGATGTCACTATTTGGAGGCGCCGGAGAATAATCATGACTTAGCCTCCACATCAGACTCTTCTAAGGACAGTTTTTCTCGTTTTTATAACTGACAGTGTTTTCCGATTAGGCCACACCAAGTAAATTTTATGGATGACGTCCTTTGGAGACCCTAAATCTAAAGCGAGAGGGCGAAAAAAAACAAGAAGGGCCATAAAAAACAAGATGCCTAGATTAGAAATATACTAAGAGACGACAAATGTTTAAGGACACAAATTGAATGAGGCGACACAGTGCAACAAGCAAGAAATCTTTTATTCATCATGAAAACAGCAATAAATCAGGTGGAATAACAGTTGTCGTCCTGTCCTGTTTCTTTCATCACATTTTTGCAGGCTTGCATAAACAAAGCATAAAATTGCGGCACTGTCGTCACTCTTTGGTTATACTTATAGCTACAGGAAGCGGAGTTTCTTGTTTTTTTTTCTAGGAACAGGCCAAAATCAATGCGCGCGCGGACGTCATCCATAAAATTTGCTTGGTGTGGCCTTATGTGATGCTGTGTTTAAACGTCCCGTTTTCAAATGTAGATACCTAGCTTAAGCAGACTCTACGATGAAAATAAGGGCTTTATTTTTTCAAAGGAGTGGCTGGATTTTATTGTGCTTTTTTCGTATACCACTTCTATTTGTACCTAGCTTCTTTGGTTCTTGGGTAAAAGTACATAAAATAAAGCCCCTGTCATAGAAACTGCTAAGGAGGCTTACAGCCATAACAGCATAAATGTAAAGGCACCAGAAAAAACACGTTCTACCCGGAAAAATATTGGCTTATCAAAATGCCCGTTGCAGAAGGGCTGATTTCGAGGCTACCCAATGAGCCCGTTGGAGAGATTACCGACTCCGTCAGCTGATTTATCAAACCGACGTCACGCTGAGGCTTGTAGCGGCCGTGAGGGGAGGCAAGTCGTCCCGGGTACAAAACATGTTTTTGAAGCTTAGCACTACCGCGGATTTTAATTACAACCGCATATCGTATTTCTTCTGACCCCATATGAAAGCAAGCGTCAAGGGCATCCAATGCAATTTTAGGGCGGCAATACAAAAAAATATTTTGCATAAGGAAATCTGTCCGATACTGGCTTTTACTGCCATTTCTTAGCACAATTTCTATCATCATTTTTTAAACTTTATTTAGTAAACCCTAAAGAAATCTACGCGAGGATCCTTTCATTTTTTGGTACCACCAACCAGCCTGCGATAAGATAAAAAAAGTAATCGTTTTCTGTCCGCGACATCGCATATTTGCCTCATAGATATCAGTATGTTACATGGGATAGGGTTAATGCAACTTACTACATAATTTACAAAATTGACAAGAAAATTGACTTTAAAAATCCAGTTTTACTACTAAAATCGTCTTGGGTGTCTTTACAGTCAAAGGCTTTGAGACTGCGATGATTCTAAAACCTAACCAGGACAACAAAAATACACAAAGGAACAGAGATGGCTAGTCATCTCTCAATAATTTTCATGTACTGATATGATCTTTGATATCATAACAATAAAATGAATGAGTCAGAAATGAATTCACGTCTGTTACAATAACCCTACCGGGAATATTACGTCTGAAATCAGGTCATATTTCTCATTGTCGCTCTGATATCAAAAGCGGGGAAAAGAGAAAGTTTAAATGATAGAGGAACAGAGGTATTGCAGAAGGCTTTATAATGATAAAATATTTCTGTAGACAATTTTGCTAGGAAGAAAGAAAATACGATTCCATAGAATTTTAAAAAATACATAGTTCTTTCGTACTTGTTTTTTGGATCTCTGTTCCTCTATAATATAGTCCACCTCTTGAAATCAGCTTCAAGTTAAAAGTCATGGAATGGAACTAATACTGTATATTACCGTGGGACCTGGTTAAGTACTGTCAATCACAAAATATTTGAGGTTGTTTTATTTCCCGAGGTTTCCTCTTAACACGAAATCATAACAAGACGACCTGGTGTTTTCAACCGCAAACTTCAAACACAGCGAAAACTTTCTTTTCTCTCAAACCGTGAAATAAAATTACCGCTAAAATAAACGCACTTACAGTACAGGCCAGCGTTTCGCCCCATGCCCCGGGGGGTGTCGGGTAGGGTTACCCTCCGTTGCCATGGTAACGGCGTCACCTCCCGGAAGTGATAATCAGTGCTGACAACAAACATGTGTCGGAGGGCCGGGCATAGGGTGACCTTTCTTCCGGTTCAGAGACGACATTGGGTCGAGATTGAGAAGAAAATTGAGTAAAGAAAGAAAGAATGTTCCGATTTTATAAACTGGTACAAATGTAGTACATGTGTCCATTTATTCCGTAATTGACACTTTCAATTAACGTTCTCATAAATGACAATAGTCAGTAAGTATGTAATTAATTAGTACTAGTGAGTAATAAATCATAGCGCTTGTAATTGTTTACCCAAAGCAAATTGATTGCTTTACATCGACGCTACCAAAGACATAACCTTCTTGGCGAAGGTAATTACAAGCACTAAAGGTGAGAATTTTATAGTAGATGTAGGTTATGCCAGGCGTGATGTCTGTATGCTCTAGTTGGTATCCAGTTCACGCAGATATGCCACCTACCCAGGAGAGTAGCAGGAACATTGAAATGTGCAAATGGTACCTCCTACGCGATAACATTATGACAACAACAGTTGGGTAGGGAAGGGGACATTGCCCTAGTCTAGATCCCAGGCCAACTGTTAGCCTAAGTTAACTCATAAAGATCTGAACGATTAGGGCCTGTCAATCGAGACTAGTACATAGATGCAACTATAGTTAGGCCAGGAAGTAGCAATTATTGCACAATATTCTATCTTTCTGCCTCTAGTATACCTCGTTAGTTTCTGCAGTGTATATATTTTCTTGGATTATTCAGTGACATAATACAGTCACACAATTCCGTTCTGTGAATAAAACAACATGTTTCGGGTCGCAGTGACTTTTATAACGGTAAACCTGTCACTCTTTGCGGTGCAATAGCTACATTATATCGTTTTCGGGGTCTTCTTTACTTTGCGAAGACATCCATTCTCGGAATAATTGACCTTGTGGGAACGAAAAACGTCTCTGAGAGCCTTTTTGCTGGCTAGAAAAGATGGATTTCAAGATATACTAGGCTGTATCGGATGTAAGTGCACTCGCCTGTTGGAACCATATCGGATGTACGAGCTTTAATGCATCTCGTACCCTGAAGCCACACTCGGTCTTGCAGAGATTGAACGCGATTTCTTCCCGTCAAGATCACAATCATTGACAGGTATTAGCAATGTCTGTAGGGGTCAAATAGTACACTGAATTTTTCTTCTCACGTGACGGAAGAATTCGAAATGCTCGCTCAAGTTTAATTTTAGACTGGTTGACTTCACGAATTACATGTAGATTTTTCACTTATATGGCTACTGCGCGCGTAGAGATTTCGTCAAAGAATTCCTCCAAAATACTAGTAAATTATAAAGGGCGTCGTATAAAAAAAGTGAGAATCAAACGTTTGAAATTTTATCAGAATACTAGCAGCGGTAATGTCCAAAATTTGTATTACTTTTGTACGAAAATAAAATTTGCGCTAAAAGAAGCTATTCTGAATGGTGAAGTCAATTTTGAAGTGAGGATGTTTCTGTATCAATCTGTCTTTCGGCTTCTCAAAAGTGGAGAAACCATGCAATTCTAATTTATCGCACTTTCCTATATTTCGCTGCAGACTCTTTGAACGTGTCCATGTACTCTGTAGGCAATTACAGTATTGCATCCGGCGTAACTCGGAAGTCAGACCCGGTGAAACCATTTACCGTCGCTCGGAGCGGACAGACTATGCTGCAGCCCAGTGAGATCCGGGCGGAGTCACAGGTGATGTATCGAGTCGGACAGGCGCTTTGAAGTGTGTCGGAGAGCCCGCTCCAGGGTGATGTACCGTAAGTATTGGATCTGCCATCTCTGCCTGCTGTAGATAGGCGGATGACAGATGTGCAGGCGATACTTCCAAAGGCCATCCTGACTGTCGTCTGCGGAGCGATTCCGGGACCGTTCGTTTTACATCTCGGGTGGGTTGGGTACATGACATAACAAAGAGTTGTTTTGTTTTCAAAGCAACAGTAGTTTTCTTGCAATTTCAAAGTTTTATTTTCAGCATTTTCTCACGTACAATGTTTAGATAATTATGCATGGGACTTCCGGATTTGATGTCTTGTGTTATGAACAACAATAAAGAAAGTATGTAGACATCCCTTTACAAATTTGAATGTCACCTTCAGTAACTAGTATGCCATTCCAGTTCAAGAAGTACTAGAATTGCCATTCTAGTTCAAGAAGTACTAGAATGTCATTCTATTTAAACACCGTCTAGAATGTTGTACAAGTATGAAATGATCAATGAACTTGCCCTTTACACAAAGTAACTCCTGAGAAGAAACCGCACGAAAGAGGCTTATACCTGTATGAGACCGGAAACCTGAAAACCAGAGATACAGAAAATATCGGTCTAGATCTTAAGCCAACCGCTGTTTGTTTATCTCTTTTCCAAGGCGAACAAAAGAATCTGTGACAAAGTACCCTGCTTTAAAGTTTCTGAAATTTGTTTTCGTAACTACCCCCCCCCCGCTTCCATTATGCCAGATAATATAATAATTCCAAAGGTTGCGTACTTATCAATGATATGATGAAAGTACGGCACTGTCGTTGTTGGAAATGAAATACAAGATTGGTATTTGATCGATGTTCTCGCCTCGAGCAAAATTAATAATATTTTCATAATGACTAATATAGTGATTGATGCAGTGTGTACTTTGTAAGATTTTTATGTCTTTGAATCGTTGCAGTGACTTGAAAAGCCACCAGAATTAAGTTAGAAGACGTTAGTTACGATCATATCATTTTAACGGTAACCACTGTGACCGTGTCTAGCTCACCTCGGAATTTATTACT